ATGGGGGCAATAGAAGGACCTAGGATAGATCTAGGAGGACTCAAGAGAGCTTTTGCTCAGATAATTAGCAGCAGCATCTTCTTGCAGACACTGGACTTCTCCATGCCAGTGAGTGGAGGAAGGAGGGGACCATGCTGCCTAAGCTTCCAGTCTGATCTTTGCAGGAGCCATATACAGTTCCTTTTGTTAGGAGGACTGGGATTAGCTTCCACTGATCTGCTGGAGTTCAGCCTGGGAAGCCTTGGAGGAGTCTTGGCAGCTATCAAACATGCGGAAAATCAATTTAGTTAGCGAACGAGCGCCCTAGGAGTCTAATATACATGTTGCAATCCCAGACAAAACAGGGGTTAAAATAGATGCATGTGCCCTACACTTAGCCACAAATCAGGATTTACAATTAAGGGAAAGAAATAGAAAAGCTGCCCAATTGCTACAGTTGTAAAGGCCTCAAAATTCCCCTGCAGGGAATTTCTTGTCCTACAAGTTGAATTCCATTGAAAAACACTGAGTTCTTGTTAAAAAAAAGAAAAAGAAAAAATATGTCCCTCCTTTCTTCCAAGACAGGTGGAATTTTATGATCCATTGACTATAATTAATCCAGACTTGATGCACATCATTGTAACAACCTAGAGATCTCATCACAGAGCAATAAAGAGAGACAGGACTGCCTTTCCCCCCAGTCTCTTTAAAACTCAATTAAAATATACATTGGATGCAACTTCCCATTAGCTGGTACTATTTGTACATCCCATGTTCTTTCTTTAATTAAAAAACATGCTTATTGCAATACTGCTAGAATCACTTTTACGGTATTTTAATTGTAATGTCTCTGTCTGATTAAAAAAAGAAAATATGAACTAGAAACTGCCTGCAAATAGTATCATCATGCACAGCCCAAATGGACTGAGCATAACAAACAATGGCTCAGATAACCAAGCATCGCAGCCAGTCTATAAACGAGGAAAATAATGGGTATGAGGGGGATCTGCAAAAGGTGACTGGATGACACAGAAGACTGGACAAAGATAAAAAAACTTGCCACTTCTAGGGTACCAGTTCAAACTCAACCCATATCAGCAATGACTGCAGTGGCTGTTGGCTGATGTGCCCCTGTATGTGCCTCAACAGGATCCTATGACTGATGGTATTGAAGGCCAGAGGGAGGATCACTGCAAAGGACTCCTGTCCAAAGCCAAGAGAAGGTTATCCAGCTATGTGTGTAGGGCCACGTTGATGGGAAGAGGTGCAAAAGGGAGACAGAAGAGCTAAATTAATACAAATGAAAAGGCCTCCTGATATAACACCAGAACTGTGTTAACCTCATGCCTGGTAAACAAGTTAACACCAGTTAAACAAAATTGGTTTGTTGGAAATTAGACCTAATTGTTGGACAAAATAATAGGGGGATGGACTATTCCACCCAACACTTCCTTGGCAGTCCTCAGGAAAAGACTTTTTGGGGAAGATGATGTCTACCGTGGCCACGGACTGACTGAAAGAAGGGGAAGGAGCGAGCTTCACCATCATGGCTGCCACCCCTGCTGTCTCCTGAGACCCCGGGATCCAGTGGGACATCATTGTGTCTTCTTCATCCTGAGAAAACCGGACAAGAGAGAAGAACCTAGATGCCACCTCCACCAGCTAAATCCCAAATGCCACCTGGGATGTAAGACCATGTAATCCCTTCCCCCATGTGTGTTCTGTTTAATAACGCTCTGGCTTAGCCAGCCACCACTATATTTTGCAATACTGCTGTAAGCCTGTCACCCAAGAGAGGTATTTAAAAGCAATGCCCCAAATGGCCCAACGATGGCACAAGTTTGCCAGGTCTTATCAGCCACTCCGAGACTGTCTGCTGGGATTGTGTTTCTCCAGCTGGGCTTGTGTTTCTCCAGCACTGAGTCTGCAAGTGAGAGTCAACACCTGAGAGAGAAGCTGCATTTTCTCTTTGCTGTTTTTTCCATGTCCCTCTTGGGTGTGTGTGTCTTGTTTTGTTTTCTAAAAAACAGGATCAAACCTCAATAGCAACAACAACAGCTCCAGCCCATCTCAACTAACTTCTTCTCTTTATCCCCAAAAGTACAGTTATCACCATCTGCGTTTCTTGCATGCAGCCACCGGTGGATTTTTTTGCAGCCACCAAAGCATGGGCAGAGACTGGGGGGCAAAGCAGCAGTCCCTCCCTGCAGCACGCATCTGTTGCTCCTGAATGGCTGGCTTCAAGGGCAGTCAGATGCTCCGCCTTGGTGTTTGCGCTGGTGCTGCCAGCAAGGATCGGTGCCCTGCACCATGCAGCCTTCTTGGGGCCTCCAGGCAGTGCCTCTGGAGACACGTGCATGGCACCAGAGGCAGCTCTTGTCAGTGGAGATGGCTGCGGCGTTTGGTCACCAGGATATTTCCTGGGCAGCTCCCCTGCACCGGCAGTCTGGGACGCTGCAGACGGCCGGTGAGTGCCCAACCCACCTTCCTGGGGCAGTCTTTCACTGAATGGCCATGGGAGACAGGGACAGAGATCGATCAGCGTTTCCCGCATCTGGGGCTGCACTCACTATTCACAGTTGCTCTAGCTACTACAGCAGGTCAATGACTCTAGGCTGCTGCAGGGCTTGGCAGCTCCCTGTCATGGTGAGGGGCTCTCACTCCATGACAAGCTCTGAGCACAAGAATAGGAGCAAAGTCCAGGTGAGCTAAAGGGGGATCTCTACTTCCTACCGCCCAGCCCCAGTGTGTAGAGGCCATGCCCTACCAGGGGGCTTCTATCTGTGTTCCCTTGTGGTGCATGCAGCCTGCCAGTATCACGCCATCTTATTAGCATCAAGAGCTCCATCGGTGATGCGGGGTGAGTCTGAGCACAGGGGAATCCTTCCTCACTGCCACTTACAGGAACGGGTTTGCTGCTTTTCAACAAGTACAGAAGTATTGTAAGGAAAATAGTCAGATCAGCCACCAGCAAGACTTGGCCATCCCACTCTGAGGCCACTAAAACTGTTGTGAGAACCTCTGATCTAAAATACTGTCATACAGGGGGGTTTTCCTTATAAAATCTGTTTACAGCTAATGGGAAAGGGAAAAACGGACCTGATTAAAATGAAAGCCTCACATAACACTTTACATTTCAAATGCTTTAATTGTTTTCCCTTCTTTTCTGTATCATTAATAAAGAACTTAAAAGATTTTTAATGGTATGTTTGCCATGGTACTAAGCAGGCTGAGGTATCTGGTTATAAAACCCTGAACCCTGTTTAAAACTGTTTAATGTTGGATAGTTTCAGGGTCATGTTAACACCTTTGACTCTTTCAGCCCATTTATTCCATCTAAATTACTGTAATACAAGAGAACCAAGTGTGCTTGGTATCATAAATGCCCTTCTCAGAGTCACTGGGTCTAAAATAGTCTAATGTTGGTTTAATAACTGTACCGTACCTACCATATTGTGTGGGTCAGCTGAATGGGCTTGTTTGAGAATGAAAAGGAGCATGACGGAGAGGGAAAAAATTGCTTTTGAATACGAGTCCAAGCCACAAAGACCCTGTTTCCAAACTTCACTGAAAATAATGGAAAGACTCCCATCAAATTCACTGGGCTTATGGATCAAGCCCATGGTTCAGAGTTGTGTCTGACCTTCCTTTCTTATTCAGTTTCTTGCTCTGGATCTATTTCATAGGTTTGGGCTGAACCACAAAGTTTAGACCCAGATTTGGATCCAAACTTGCTAGGATTTTGGATCCTGCATTCTAGTTCAGACCACCTCATACTTGTGATACAGATATGCATTCCAGCAGGATAATCTCATTTGGGCTCAAAACGACTCATTCATTACCAAGAACCTATTTTCAGAGGCTTAGAACTTTCAGCAGGAGTTTGGTGGGGAGGATTTGGCTAAAACATTTTCATGCTTGATCTCACCCCCAGCTTGATTAAAATATTTATTTTCTTTGTTCAGGTGGAAGAAAACCTGATAAAATTCCACCCCACTATTCTGGGAGATCGCTGATAAAGGGATCGAAGTGGGAAGGAAAGTTCTTTCCATTTTCAGATTTCTTTATCATCTGTTAACTCAAAACTGAGTTAAAATACATTAAAATATCACATTCCTTGCATCTGTAGTCCTCAATGAAGGTTTAGCCACAGATCCTCAAAGATATTTAGATGCCCAACTCCCATCGATTTCAATGGGAGTTAGGAGCCTAAATGCCTTTGAGATTTGGGCCTTAATACCTATGACATTTGTTAAGAAATCTCTTTTACAAACCATTAAGTGTAAGCATTTAAAACACAACACAAAGTCCTTTGCTTACTTTTTAGGCCCCAATCCTGAAAACATTTACGCATGTGCTTAAACTTAAGCATGTGCAGAAGGGTGTGCAGGATTGGGGCCTTCATTTTGAGGATGGAAATGTTTCTACTGGTGAATGGCAGGTTATTTTTGTCCTTAATTGTGTATTGACTCCAACCGAGCTGCATCTATTTACACCAAATCTGAATTTGACTCGGGGTATGTAAGTACTACAGGCCTGATGCTTTCTCTCTTAACTGTGCTGTATTATTTACACAACACTAACGGAGTGCTAGGATCATGGATTATTTATTACATTCTGTAACTGTAGCCTATAATTCTGTAACAACATCATTAGTTCTGTAAAGGCTTTTCCAACACACTTGCATCAAAGATACCACACAAGACATAGGTGATTATTGTTACCAGTACCACTATTATCCCTGATGGCTGTGCAGAAGAGCTCTGCTTTCAGTAGTCTAGTCCTACTCATATTGTCATTATGCCTCAAACAGCATAAACGATACTTTCTGCATACAGAATAATTAAACAGATCCCTCCCCCCATCCTCACTATGTTTACCAAACACTGATGCTCTGTCTTTGACACTCCTGTCTGACCAGGTGCCTTGGCACAGTTTATTTGATTGGGGGGCGGGGAGAGGGAGGAGAGAATGAAACGCTACAGCCTGCAAGAAACAAACAGACAAAAACCTCCTCAGACCTTTGACGTGCAGAAAGTTGAGGATGCCAGTGGTGGTATCCAGCAGCAGCGTCTGGCCTCTTTCTACTGTGACATTAGCGCCATCTTGTGGCAAGTGCCCATCAAGCCAGCTGGAGTTCTTAGACCATCGGCCGCAGAATTGGAGGGGGGGGTGCCTCTGAAAAAGAAAATAAGGGTCTTAAAATTGACCTTGGATTTTTTTTTAAATTATGAAACTGGAAATAACTTTAAAACAAATTATAAGTGTGGTCATGCAGGTCCTTGTCCCAACCTCCTGTTGTCACCAAGCATGGAAATACTTGTCAGGGGAGAATGGACCCAAGTTTTACCTGGCATACCTTAAGTGAAGTTCATTTACTCCAGTCTTTTCTGCTAGGCTCATTGCGCTGTATATTCCCGCCCCTCTTCTCTTCCCCCCCCCCCCCCAATATCCAGCCCACTCCCCCTTTGTTATATAGAAGAGAGAGGAGGGAATCCAAGTTTCTTGGTGTGTGTTTTCTCCACTACAATATCTAGACTCAACTCACAGTCTACTTCAAAAATGGATCTAGACTCACCACAAAGGTTAGGCCTGGACAGACCTTAGAGGAAATGCTAGATAGCATGTCTAGCAATAGACCTACCTCGAGAGGTACTACAAGGATTAGTCAATATTTACAGCATATGCACCACAGTAATCCATGTGCTTGTTACCATTACCATTACCATCAGACTGGATTAGTGTAACACAGGATATATGTGGCTTCTCTAGAGGGTGAAAAGATTGATGTAGTAGACAGGGCATGACAAGGACTCAAGAAACCTGGGTTCATCCACAGACTCCCTGGTTGGCTTTGGGCAAATCACAGTCTACCCCGTCTCAGTTCTCCATGTGTGAAATGGGGATGATACTTCCCTACCTCACAGGGTTTTGTGAAGATAAAACCCTTTATGACTGTGAGGGGCCCAGTTACCAGAGTGATGAGGGCCATGTACCCTGGCAGATTCAGCAACACCAGCGAGTGTGAAATGCACCTGCCTGCTTCCTTACTGACTATTCTTCTCTGGAGCACATTACACCTGCTTGCTATAGATTGCACCCATTTGTTTCTGAGTGAAATTCAAAATACTGATTCTGATCAATGAAGCCCTATGTGGCTTCAGTCCTGTCTACCTCAGAATCTCTCTCCCCATATGCTATCTTGATAAATCAGATGGTCTGGCATGGTCCTGACAACAGTTCCCAGATATCAGTAGTAGGAACTAGAGGCAGGGCATTCTCCAGGGGACAGGGATGGGGTTTTGTTTATTTCAATGGCTCAAAAAGGCCCAAATTTCCAGGGCACACTGGATGTTCGCCCACGAAAGCTTAGGCTCCAATACGTCTGTTAGTCTGTAAGGACTCTTTGCCACTTATTCACTAAAGATTTTGCTAGACCTTTGAGTGATTCAAATGTAGTTTGTAGGGTAGAAGTAGGGTTTTTTTTTCCCAATTGACTTGCCATCAGTTTTGTTTTTTGCTGACCAATGTTTTATACAGACTGTTCATGCACCACTTCGAGCCTGACAGGGGTGCATTTTGGAAAACAAACATTTAGGTAGATAAGAATTTGCTACACTAGACAGGACTAATAGTCCATCAAGTCTGCTATCCGGTCTCCACAGCTTGGATCCTTATCAGAACCAAACCTTTTTTGGGCTCCTTGCTGGTGGGAACATTAGAAGTGGCTAATGTTGACCAATATATGTTACCTAGCATCTAGATCATATTAATATGCATCACCTGCACCACACGTATATTAGTGTGCATTAAGCACAAACAGAATTAAGTACAAACCGTATAGTAGTTATATAACCTAAATTGGCTTCTACCTTTACTATAATCCTATTCTCTTATGCTAAGTATCCCATAACACCTTGCATTACCCGAAGTAAGCTTTGGCTTAAGTACATAGGAAAATTGTCAGGATCAGGACATATGATTATTTTATCATAGCAATAGGTAGGGAGTTATTCTCCCAGGCCAGTACTGGAATCTCCCAAAGGAAGAAGACAAGACATATAATTGTTTTGGCCTAGTACAAACCTAGGAGATGCCATCACGCCCTTTAGTACCTGGAATGCATGTGTTCAGAACTGATTGGTAAAACGCTAGTTTCAGGTGATGTATGCTGTATCTTTTACTTGTAAACTGGTAGAAACAAAAAGATGGCTTTAGAGGTGTAACTCTGGGTGCACACCTTCTGCGTAAGGTTAATGTAGCAATGCTGCACAAGACGGCTTCCCGGAGATTGGTATCGTATAGAACCTCTCTCCTGTACAACATTATTATTGGCTTTTAGTAATAAACATGACTGACATTGGTTATTTAGTCTCTTGAGTATATTTCATAATGAATTAAAGTATGGTCAAGCAATTGACTATACAATTTGTCAACACTAGATAGTACTATTTATTTACAGTAGCACTAACAATGTGGTGGGTGCTTTCTACACATTCACAGAAATCACAGAAATGTTGGACTGGAAGGGACTTCAGTAAATCATCTAATCCAGTCCCCTGCACTCAAGGAAGGACTAAGTATTATCTAGACCATCCCTGACAGGTGTTTGTCTAACCTGTTCTTAAAAACATCCAATGATGGAGATTCCACAACCTCCCTACATAATTTGTTCCAGTGCTTAACTATCCTTACATAGGGTTGCCAACTTTCTACTCGCACAAAACCGAATACCCTTGCCCTGCCCCTACTCTGCAGCCCCGCCCATGCCCCGCCCTTCTCCGAGGCTCACTCCATCTCCTCCTCCCTCTGTCGCTTACTTCCCCACCATCACTCACTCGCTCATTTACACTGGGCTGGCTCAGAGGATTGGGTGAGGGAGGGGGTGAGGGCTCTGGCTGGGGATGCGAGCTCTGGGTTGAGGCTAGGGATGAGGGGTTTAGGGTGCAGGAGGGTGCTCTGGGCTGGGATCGAGAGGTTTGGAGGGTGGGAGGGGGACCAGGGCTGGGGCAGGGGGTTGGAGCCTGGGAGAGGGTCAGGGGAGCAGGCTCTGGACAGCTCTTACCTCAAGCAGCTCCCGGAAGCACTGGCATGTCCCCTATCCGGCTCCGATGCTGAGGCGTGGCTAGGCAGCTCTGCACACTACCCTGTCCGCAGACTCCTGGCCAATGGGAGCTGCGGAGGTGGGGCTTGGGGAAGGGACAGCACATGGAGCCCCCGACTCATGTAGGAGGCAGACGGGGGACATGCCGGCTGCTTCTTGGGAGCCGCACAGTGCAGAGGCTAGCAGGGAACCTGCCAGCCCCACTGTATGGCGCCGCTATCTGCACAGTCAATGGCCCAGTCAGCGGTGCTGACCGGAGCCGCCAGGATCTCTTTTCGACCGGGTGTTCCGGTTGAAAACCGGACACCTGGTCACCCTATCCTTACAGTTAGGGAGTTTTTCCTAGCATCTTGCCGAAATCCCCCTTACTGCAATTTAGGCCCATTCTTTCTTGTCCTGTCCTCAGTGGTAAGGAGAACAATTTATCCTCCTCCTCTTGAAAACAATCTTTTATGTACTTTAAGACTGTTACCATGTCCCTCCTCGGTCTTCTCTTCTCCATACTAAACAAACCCAATTTTTTCAATCTTTCCTCGTACCTCATGTTTTCTTGACCTTTAGTCATTTTTTGTTGCTCTCTTCTGAACTTTCTCCAATTTGTCCACATCTTTCCTGAATTGTGGTGCCCAGAACTGGGCACAATGCTCCAGTTGAGACTTTAACAGTGCTGAGTAGAGTTGATGAAATATTTCTTGTTTCTCCTGATAATACAGCCCAGAATTATGTTCACTTTTTTTTTTTTGCATTACATTGTTGACTCATATTTAGTTTGTGATCTACTATAACCCCAAGATCTTTTTCTGCAGTACTCCTTCCTAGGCAGTCATTTCCCATTTTGTGTTTGTGCAATTGATTATTCCTTCCTAAGTGTTGTACTTTGCATTTGTCCTTATTGAATTTCATCCTATTTATTTCAAACCACCTCTTCAGTTTGTCAACATCACTTGGAATTCTAAACCTGTCCTCCAAAGCACATGCAACTCTCCCAACTTCGTATCTTCCACAAACTTTATAGATGCACTCTTTATGCCATTATCCAAATCATTCATGAAGATATTGAATAGAACCAGACCTTGGACAGATCCATGTGGGACCCCACTCAATATGCCCTTCCTGCTTGACTGTGAACCACTGATAACTACTCTTTGAGTACAGTTTTCCAACCAGTTATGCACCCACCTGTTTCATAAGTTTATCTAGGTTATATTTCCCTAGTTTGTTTATGAGAAAAGCATGTGAAGCAGTATTAAAGCCTTACTCAAGTCCAGATATATCACATATACTACTTCACATCATCCATAAGGCTTGATACCCTGTCAAAGGAGGATAGTGGGTTGGTTTGACATAATTTATTCTTGACAAATCCATTTTGACTGTTAATTATCACCTTATCCTTAAGGGCTGGTACTACAATGAGAAGCTCACAATGTAAATACAGACTGAGAAATACAGGCAGAGGTTAGGAGAAGGGGAGCAACAATATGCAATGCACCTACAAGTCAAATCTTTTCACTGTTGGCAACATGGAAGAAGTGGGTCTTAAATAGGGACTCACGTATGGACAGGGTAGATGCCTTGAACCTTAGATAAATACTCATCTCTTTAAAGAAAATAAGGTTCTCTCAGCAACAGAGAAATGGAAAAAACAGATAGGTTGTATGAGGAAGCAGGGTTTTCAGAAAATCAAGCCTTTCATGGGTCCTTGCTAAAGTAAATATTTCACTCTTCATGAGGAATCTCCAACATTAAAGGAACTTTTGTTCAGTGAGGAACAAGCAAAGGAGGAGGTATAAAACATCTTTATTTCTTCTCCATTGCTTTGCAGTATGTCTCAGCAGAACAAATGCTGCTTTGCCAAATGGCAGGGCAGGCCAACCCATGCAACAATATCCTAATGTTTATAACTACCTGTCTGATGGCATCTCGGCCACTCTGTGTAGTACATTAGGGGTGATGGCTGATATATGGTTACCATCAAATGGTTTGCCTCCTCCTACCTAGGAGCATTCCTCTGAGACAAGGCTCTTATTGAGCCTGATACAATACTCACTGAAGTCAAGAAGGGTCTTTCCAC